AAACAAACTCTTTTGCTATTATCTGTCTATTGTTCTCTGTCTACTGCTTCCCGCTCGTCTCACGCTATTTGTATCTTTATTATATAGTCGTCTAGCCACTTTCTATATTCTCGACACCAATTAGTTATTAACAGAATCTTCTACAAATCGTCTGCTTTTAACTCTTATTATAACAAAACTTAAAAATAATAAAATATTCACTCACAAATATAAATTAATCACTAATATTTAAACCAAACAGTCTTTTATATCATGACAATATGCTTATTCAAAATCAACCCCTAATAGCCTAGCAGTAAGTCTGAAGGCTTGTAGCGTTAAAACCGGATTTCGATACCTGTGGTGGACATAGCACAAATAGCTCATTATGTAGCATTGCACTTAACAAACTTATTCAAAATTGTTTTGATATACAGTACTTAGCCCTCTATGTGCTTGTGTGTATATATATATATGCATACATATTATTTATCTATTTATATAACTGTTTAGTAGACACGACAATTATTAGATTTACATGATACCCAAACAAACCAAAAATGTTTTAAAGCACCTCAAAAAAAAACAACAAAAAATCCAATGGCAACGCAGCAGAGAGCAAAATTTTACAAAACGCACCCTCCACCGAGGTCACACACCCTCCTTAATAACGAAAATGAATACATGTACATGCATTGTTAACATCCGTTAAATACAGCGATCTCTGATTCAAGAAGTAAACTTCGAAATAAGTATGACAAGTTAGATTACCCGTACTTTATAAAATTCATTTGTAAAGGACGCCCATGATTGGTTGACTGTCACACAGTGATAGCGATGTCAAGGCAAAAATTACACCTATTAAAATCTTCCGCTGAAAGTGTTTATATCTGGACGCATTACGTTAGCATACATGGCCACATGGCAAAAAAAAAGCGCTGTCGACAGTTATGACAGTGTCGTGGCTGTGTAGGATGACGTAGATTCTAAACAATAAATGTAGCTAGGCCTAGACGAAATCGATAAATCTATTGTTACATAACATCATCATGTCTGCTAAGCCACCTTACAAACGGTCGCCCCCTGGGTGTCAGAGTATAAAAGATTGTTTCAGCAAACTTCGTCGCAGGTAGACTAAATCTCTAGGGCCTAGACTTATAGATATAGGCCTAATTCCAGTAAGGAATCCTCGAGGGCTAGAATCCGAGAATATAGTTTTTTAGATCTCTGACACTAGGCTACATTATCTAGATCTAGATCTAGGCCTACTAATCTAGATGTAGACCTAGAGTATATCTACTATAATCTAATCTAGGCAGCCTGCTAGATCTAGCCTAATAGACCGACTTTCCTCAGTCTAAGTTGGGCTACATCGCCGACTGGCTGGCCCAACATAGACTGAATATACGTTGTTTCTTTAATGGTTATAATGCAAAAAAATAAAACAATAATTTTACAAAAAGTACAGTCTTACATGGAAACCAGAAAATTTTTTTCAAATAATCAATAAAAAGTAGGGTCACTTATGGCCCCCAAACTGCTGAGCCTTTCATGATAGCCAAGCTCAAACAATGGGGGGGGGGGGCTTTAGTACAGAACATACCTGCTAATAACCAATATATAGTGAGTCCCCCATAGTTCCATAGTGTTAAATTTTTTTTCTCATTTAATTATCTGGTTATATTATTATTTTGTTTATTGCAATAAAAATAACACGAATGTTGTAAGTATAGGCAGATATTTAATTATTCAATAGTTTTTTTTATTCTATAATTACAGAAACTATATCTGGCATTATTGCTTTCAGAGCATCAGATGAAAGACAGGACCACCCCACATCAGGTTTTACAGATGAAGACAGTGCTGATGTTTTGCAAGACTCTTCAACTACTGTTCTACAATCACCTTTTTCAACAACTGATGGTTTTCCAGTTCCAGCTATAAACAACACGACTCAAAATACTTTTACATCAACTCCTTCCTATGCAGGAGACTCAGCTTTGCCAACACCCTTAGTTTCCACCACAGGGAGATAGATATACAGTAGTTCCTCTTACAAGTGGCTCCTCCTATAAGTGGACACTTCTTTCTCAGCAAGGGTGTCTGCTTAGAAGAGGAGAACACTGTATGTATGTATATATATATTCTTCCGTATTTGACATTATGTAAATATAATTACACAAATATATTCATGACCATTATATTTAAAAATTAAATATATCCTTTAGGTGTCTACAGTTAAGGAACACTACCAGAGTTTACTGCAGCAGACAGATGTAAGGTTTGGAGCCTGGTTCCCTCATGCCAAACGAATTGCAACTCAGGTATTAAATATAAAAAACAACTTAGGGTATCTTATATAGCTACACTGTCTTAATAGTGTGTGCTTTAAAGACTTAAAATTTATAAGGTATAGTATAAATATGTATTAGTACTTTGTTTACTTTATTTCCAGCTTTGCAATATTATGTTTGACAATGTAAAAGAAAGTAATATTGACCTACTAAGACTAATATAAATAAACGCTAGTTCATAATGCATATCTGAGCATTAAATTAAAAATATCACGAAATATGTTTGACAAATTGGTGAAAAGACCACTATTCCCAGAATTGCAAAGAGACAGCAACACCGTAGTAATATCAGTGTTGAATCTAACTGCTTGTGTTAGAGCCCACACACTATTTCAGTAGTAGTGCTGGTGGTGGTGGTAATAGTAGAATAGTAA